ACAAAAACTAAGGCCTTAGAATGCCCTAGGGAAAATTATATTATATCAACTTTATAGCATCTAAGCATCACCAGACCTGTACTCATCAGATTTAGGAAACAGAGGAAACCTGCATCTTGAATTGCCTTGCTGGGCTTAAACACATTTCCTAAGGTATGTGAACTGCAGGAAAAATCATTCAGTAGAGAAGGAATCTCATTATTGAAATGAGTGTTCAGAAACCATCCATTAATCCTTATCATCTGGTTCACAACACATACACTGCACTTACAGATACTATGCCATTAGATCAGAACAGCAAACTCTTTTATTATTCTGTGAAGAAATGCAAAGCTGCATGAATATAAAAACAGCCTCACCCATCCTGTTTCCTTCATTAAAAAGTGGGGCACTGGAAAACTCAGCTAGAGTTACGAGAGTAAAGAAGATCTCTTCCACTGTCAGTTTTATAGTGTGTTTGTCATGCAAATAGACTTTGTGAATATCTCCTTCACACCAAGCTATGTCTAGAGTAAAACAGATGCATGGTGAAACTCAGACCCTATTTACAGAGTTCTACTAACATATTGCTTATCAAACTATTTTAAACTGAAGTAAACTAAGAATAGTGCACTAAAATTTATTTCTTTACTATTAATGAAGTAAAAGACGTATGTGGCCAGAATACCACAAAGTAAAGTATTCAAAATAAATGTGCAATAGTTTGACTATAGATTAAGTTATGATGGCAGTGTAGCACTTCCTTTAGATAAGCCTAAATCTGACACTTGTGGGTGGATCTGAATAGAAGACTTCTGCCTTTTCTACAGGGATAGTAGAGATAAATCCAAAAAATCAGTTTAGTCTGTTTTACTTTCTACCCACCTGAATACCTTCTGGGTTGGGCAGTATACTGTAAGATAGGTACCACAAACCAGGTTCTGACTTCTAATTCTGTCTTTATTCCTGACTTGCGTTGTAACTACTAAATCAAACTCTCTTATTTTGGCCTCAAGCCGAAGCCCTGAACCTCAGTCTAAATTTAATCCAGATTCTGTTCTGAAGGCTACCTCCCCCGCCTCTCTCATTAACTCTGTTGCAGTTTGTGTTGAATGAAAGAGGGTGCATCTACATGTGCAATTAAAGTGACGCACTTGCAGCTGGCTCAGGGGTTTCAGCCCCGGGCTCTGGGTCATGGCATCAGGCAATGTCAGGGCTGTCTGGGGCACAAGAATGCCAAAGCTGTGGAGCCATGTAGGTCAAAAATCCTCCTGTGCTGCAAGGTAACAGTACAGGGAAAGCCTGAATGTGTGCTGTGTGGTACCACAGACAGGTGTGCAGCGCCGCATGCCACACAGCCATGCTCATCTGGACGCAGCCAGAGAGAACAGTGGGAAAAGAAGGTGAATTGTTCCTAGATGAGTTCTTCTCAGAGGTGTTGAATGGAGCCAGAAATTGGGCACTGTTCATAGCATGGTCCTCCAGGCACCCAGCACTTAAACCTGTGTTAACGCCTCCTGCTCAGTGGAAACGTCTATACAAGAAACTGATTGCAGTAGTGTCATGTGGTGGGAAGCGTGATGCGCTGGTACTGCACAGTAGTAACAAGCTACTATGCAGTCAGCGTCACCTAAAAGGCTTTGGCAACATTCCTGCACAGTAACTTGTTTGTGTAAGTACTAAATGACTGTGGCAGCATCTCGTGTAGGTGCAGCCAGTGTCTACCTGTATCAGGGGTATGGCTGAAGGCAGTGTGGACATGCCTAGTGGTAGCATAGATCCTAGTGGAGTCGTGCTGCTAGAGAGGAGAGATCTAGAAGGCATTGCAAAGGATATATTTTCTAGTAATAGGTGCTTTAAGCCCCATGTTTCCTGCACAAGTGGGGTTTTGAGATTTGTAGACCATACCTTCTGCATCTCTCTGGCATCAGGCATCCCTTGCTTGAGGGGAGCATTTCTCAGAACTGGTGTTCTGTCTTGCAGAGTTCTCTGAACACATCCCCTCCCCGCGTATTTCTGGGGGAGATTGTTATAGCATACACATCATTCCAGTCCTCTGGAAGAAACTTTCTTTAGTTTCATCACACCAAGCCCTTGGGCTCCTCTGATTCACTTTGATTTAGTACGGGCTGTAAAGTCAAGTAAGATTTAAATTTTTAAAAAGTGTTTGAGATTTATTTGGATGAAGGGTTCTATGTAAAAAGAAACACTGGGCCAGCATGGTTATTTGGGCTATGTGTGGAGATGGGATTGGTCCTTGGATTGGCTTAGAAGATGGTACTTGTAATAAGATCACACTTCTTTCTCTTTAATCTTTGTACTATAGGTGTACTATAGGTGCATTATCCTTCCAGTTTTAAAGAGACCTTCCTCCCAGGAAACCCATGAGTGAAGCCTCTCTGCAATGGAACCCCAGCCTACCCTGGCCTGGGTCCTACTACTGAGCCTGATCGCTGACTGTCTGAAAGCTGTTCAACCTCGAGACTTTACAGTGAAAGACATTATCTATCTTCATCCTTCAAGTAAGATTTGTTTTGCATGCCTAGAATAGGCTGTTACTGTGCCGAGGCATAGGGGAAGAAAAATCCCCGGATGTTTCTGTTACCTGAATGTTTGAAACAGGAGAAATGCATCTTTTTAAAAAGAGCCTCTGCACTAAAAAACTAGGAAAAAAATATGTTCATATGATCATGTGTATATGCATATGTACTTACAGACCTATGGATAATTCCACCGCTGGCTCTACCCACTAGGCATGGAGACCCTGTGGCCCATGACTGTGGATACCTTAGAGGTGATTGCAGGGTAAAAGGGGACAGGGCTTGCCTGCTTGTCAGCTGCTATGCAGTAATGTCTTGTGTGCATGGTTTTATGCTGCAGTAAATGGCCGATAATCTGTGGCAGCTTAATCTCTAATGAAAGAGGGCATTTACTAAGGACCAGCTGATACACAGTGACTGGCTTGTCTGGCCATAATATTCGTTTCAGAACAGTGTCTCCTGGTCAGTTTGGGATTCAGATGAAGGCTGAGAGATGGTTTTGGTACTAACGAAGTGAAGGAAAATGCAGCGATTGGCATGATAGTTATATGACGGTGAATACGGGTTAGTACATCTCTGGCTTTAGTTGCTGCTTCCTTGCAAACTTCGCATGTATTTTTGCAGCAATGTTTGACCCTCGTGGTTGCTCATGCATTTATGTCTTTAAATAGACTCACTGGAATAAGACTACAGTACATAGTACTTGGGCAAAGTGCCAGATTGAGTCCTGGAGATTTATATTCTCCAGAGGTTGATGTCCTCTGATCATAGAACTGGTACAAGAGGGCAGTAGCTAATGTGGCTCTGCCAATATACCTCAACAATTTAAAGGAGAGACTGGCTTGTCATCTTCTTCAGGGCCTAATCTAAAGCCTAAAATCAATGGAAAGAATCATGTAACCCTTAATGACTTCAGAATGGGCACTTTTCATTAAGACTGTCAGGTGTGATACATTTTCTTTCTGTGATGACGTGGTTCACTAGGGACTGGATTAAGATGACCGGTTTCTTCCACACAGGCCTGCGAGTCTGTGCAGCAGTGGTTTTAGCAGGGAATGTACTGGCTTCAGTCCTTGAGTAGCTCCTGCCTCTGTGACTTCCCTTGTTCCTGCCCCAGTACCTCTGACTATGTACCCAACCCTTCAAACTATGGACTCTGGTTTGACCTCAGCTAGCCCCCTAACCTCTGATTCTGGTGAAGCCTCTGGCTCAGTGTTTGAACTCTGGATTGACTGTGGCTTGCTTCCTGACCACTGATCCAGTAAATCCCCTGGCTCGGTGCTTGGCCTTTGGCTTGACCACAGCTTGCTTCCTGAACCCTTATCCTAGATATTCCCCTGGTTTGGCGCTTGGCCTTTGACTTCTGGCTTCCGATCCCCTGGTGTGTAACTTGAATTTGCCCTCTGTTGCTCCAAACCACAGCTTATGTCTGCAACCCCTGATCCACCCCCAGGCCTACCCACTAGACATGATGCTCCTGTGGACCATGACACCACCAGCTCCAGCTGCTATTTTGAGGGGGGGAGGGGTACATGCCTGCACAGCAGTTCCTGTTTATTGGCCTGTATAAAAGAAACTTGTCTTCTTAAACCAGGTTCTAGTGGTCACCATGGACCAAGTCAAACTGAAACCAGCAATAAAGCTGTGTACCCTGCATCCTTGTACACAAGGATGGTTCGTTTGGTTTCCTGAGGCTTACACTGCTTGTCTGATTAAGCTTTCTGGATGGTGCCCGTGCATTCAAGATTTTATGAAATCCTTTCATGTGTTTTGGAACTCGTTTGACTGTGGTCCTTTTCTCCATGCCTTTAACATCTGTTTTGTTTTGTTTTTCTTTTTTCCTGAAGAGCAAGTCGGTTCAGATAAATTGGCAAAGGCCCAATGAAGTCAGTGGAGCTGTGTCAATTTTACAGCAGGGGTAGATTTTATCCAGTATCTTTCTAGCCAAAGGGATACCTGTGCTGTGGGGAAAGCCCCAGTACTTTAAGGTTTCTTCTAAATAAGTCCATTTTCCAACCAAAAATAATCATTGCAGTTTAAAAAGAAAATGTATCAACAAGCTCATTTAAGGGATGACAGAAAACTTAACTGGCATTTGAGGATATGTTGTTCAGTGCTCATTTGTCCACGTCTGATTCATTTTGGTGCACTTAATCCGTTTGATCATTTATGTTAGCATTCACAAATACGTGTAAAGGCTAAATAACGAAGCACTGAAGATACAAGATAGCACTGTAATGTACTGCATATACACACGTGCATGTGCGTGTGCACATGTACACACACCTGTTAGTTTTTGTCTTCCTAGATTTGTTTTTCTTTTCGCCAGCTCTCTGTTCCAGTTTTAACTTACTTTTTCACCTAGTGGCACCTTTCTGAATTCTCTCATAAATGGAATCTTATAATATTTCATTCTGAGTCACAATTTTAACCCAGTTTACAGGCATGGGGACCTCCTCAGTTTTCAGCTGGGTCTGGAATGAAGCAAAACATGATTGTCTACAACAAACATCTTTGTCTGAAAAATCTGTCTTTAGCTGTACGCTGAAAAAGATTAACTGTCCACAGTAATCTTCCTAATGAGGTCATTCAGGGTGAACCATTGCTGACCAGATATCATTACAGGAACTTACTGTGAAGTTGCCTTTTCTTTGGAATGTCCCTCTGAGGGATTGGAGGTCTTATGGCCCAAAGTGCAGTCTAGCAAACTTATTATCTCCTGTGATCAAGAGCCAAATGAGAGTTCCTTATCACTGTTGCAACAACTGTTTGAAACTTTGTTTTGCTCCAACCTCTGCAAAGTAATGAGGAAGAAAATACTACGCATCTCAGGGACCTCCACATTCTCCCCTTTTCTGTTTTACCATTTTCTCAGATGTGGTGTTATCCCTTAATTTGAGGCAATATTTACACACATGCACCTAGGCTCATCCATATGCCTGGAATTTTTTTCCCCCAGAGAAATCTTTCTGCCTTTTAATATCTGGAAAGGCCATTTCCTTTTTTATTATCCAAAAGAAGAAAGAGACCCATGTATGTTTTGGGCTGCAGGCTTTGGAACAGAAGAGGACAGCCCCTAATTTCTTTGATTTGTACTGTTTGCCAACATGTAACCAGCTCTCATTTTCAGAGGCAGATTTGTGGGTTTTTTTCATACCTGGTAAAACAAGTTGGAGAGGTTTATGTATTAATTTTTATGACATTATGTGGTCAGTTGAGTTTGTTAAATATGATGGTTACATGACAAAGCATTTTCAGACATAAAGGTCCTGGTAAAATATCTGATTTTCCTAAATCTGCTAATTAAACAAACAGCCATCCTCAACCTCTGCAGAGCTCAGCCTTGCAGAATTGTCAGGAAAACATTCCAGTTCAGGCATAAAATCTACACAGGTACTCTTCAAAAGATGGTAAAAATAATGAAAAAATGAACAATATTTCACACACCCATTAAAAAAGCTTCTCATTCTAGTGAATTGGTAAGTAAAATTTTCCAAAGCTGATGTAGCTTTTGAAACATATCCAGGCCATTAAGGGTCTAGTAAAGTCGCCTACACTAAATAAGCCAGTCTTTTGGGAAGACTGGCTTTTGGAAAGAAGAGGGGGTGGCCATTGGATGCTGATTTAATAGCCTCATAATGTTTTTAAGGGGATGCAGTGTCTGTTGGTTCAATGGCTGTAGAGGTATTGCATCGAATGTGACAGGCTGCTGGTTGCCTGATACAAGATGGAGTGAAGTTAATCTCCATTGTCTCTGTTTTATTATGCCACACAATACCTGTAGTTTATTCCAATGGGGTAAATTTGACACTGTTTTTGTCATTATAGTACTGAAAAATTGTAACAATTTAGTAAATCTATTTAAAATGTTTAATTTAGAATGTCTTACAGATGTTTTGTCAAGAGAAAATTTAAGACCTAAGTTCCACCCTTGGTTAGGTAACTTGGAGATAAGTATACTGTTGATAATGGAAGTTCAGAAAATTGATATTTTTCTTACTATTTAGAATATTTAGAATAACCCAAATGTGTTAGTTTATTTTTTCAGTGCAGAGGTATTTAATCAACCACAAAACATTATTGGCCGTAGCTGTGAAATAATACTGTGTTCAGAGCATGAACAAGTGTAGTTATTGTGCTGGTACTTCTTGGTCAGGCCAGTTCTCCTTGAGGTAAACAGTATGTGTCCCAAGTTTCTTGTATTGCTAATGCTACTGACAGACTCCAGCACAATATTTATAATGATGTTAATGGTTGCATTTCTAGCAACGTGTATTATAAGGTAGGGTATATGGACAGTAGTGCAACTGAGGGGCACAGAGACTGGGACAGCAGCCCTGGGCACTACCCTTAGAGGGGGACAAAAATAGCTATTGCTGCAGTGGTGTTTGACTGCACTGTTGCCAACAGCAGCGTGGCAGCTAGTGCTGCCTATATACAGCTGCCCCAGGCACAGTGCTGCCCTGCTACACCTCTGGGGATAGGAAACTCTACATTAGCATGGTACAGACTGTCTAAATGCGAATCAGCTTAACTGAATTTTATTCAAATTTTTCAGCCACCCCATATCCTGGTGGATTTAAATGCTTCACCTGTGAAAAAGCAGTGGACAATTATGAATGCAACCGGTGGGCTCCAGATGTCTATTGTCCAAAAGGTAAACTTTCTATGTGTTACTGGTTAAACTGAGCCTATGCTAAGGAAAAATTCTCAGTATCTCATTATACTTGGTAGCAGAAAAAAGTATTTTCATTGTCCTCTGAGAGTATTTGAATTTCAGTGATTGGTATTCACAATTAAAGGTATCTGTCAGAGAGACTTGTGAATGATACAAATGATCCTCTCTCTGTCAGGCTTGTCTTTGCAGCAGAAGGGGTTTGAAACTTTCATCTTTCTCCACATTCTTCTTTAGCACAAACAGCAATTAAATCAGGATATTTTATTTATCAGCAATTTATAGTTTTCTTATCACTTATTCTTCCTTCCTTCCTTCCCTCCATTTAGGACACAAGGCCCTACTTCTGGTTTAACTGTGCTTAAACCCAATCCTATTCAGCAAATGCCCTGGCCCAGATCCTTAAGGTATTTAGAAACCCAACTCCCATTAAAATCCATGGGACTTGGGGCTGGATCCACAAACAGATTAGGGCCACATCCAGTGCAGACTACATCTTGGATACCTAAATTCCAGATGCCCCAATCCAGCGGGGTGATTCAATATAGCAAGGTGTAGGTGCATAGGATCCCTATACAGTCCGTAGTGATTCCTCCAGGAAGTGATCCAGTTTGCTTGAGTGTAGGTGCACTCTATGGAGAAGTGGGGGAGAGGTAGGTGCTTCCAAAGGGTGACTCAGAAAGACCTGGGGCATCTAAACAGCCAGTAGGAAATGCAAAGCACAGGAGTATGTTCCCACTCTTTTCCAGAGATTAAACTCCTAACTTCTGCTGCACATTAAGCTTCTCTGTTTGCAAGGGAGCCACTGTACCTAGTCTCTCCTCTCTAGGGGCAGGCACTTATCTAACTGGTAGTGCTGCACACCTTTTTGCCAAGTAGTTTACTGGTTACAGCATTTCCTCAGGAAGTGGGAGATCCGTCTCCGTACTCAAGGCCCTCCTTAGCCTGAGGAAATTTAAAACTTCCTCTCCTATGTCCTAGGAAAGTACCACTAGGTTCTAGATTAGGCTGGGTGATCACATCTCCACCCCTCCTATTTAAGACAGGACACTGGGCACCTAGGAGTGGCAGTTATGGAACCACGACAATGGGAAGCAAGAGTGAGTCTGAATCTATAGCCTAGTACAATGATTCTCAACCAGGGTGCCACAAGCTCCTTTTGAGGGTGTCACAGGGTACCACACAATGTTAGCACTGTTAGGTGTGCAAACATGATTCACAAGATAAACCCAGAGATTTCAAATAGGAATCCATGGCATTAAAAGCATTCTGACCTGTTGTGCTCTTCCTGAGTTGATTGCAACAGAAGACTTGCTCTATTTGTCTATAGTAAAAAAACCCCTAAGAGTTGGCATTTTCCCAGGGGTGCCTTGAGTCTAAAAAGCATGAGAACCACTGGCCTAATAGTTGAGACAAAACAGAGAAGTACAGGGTTCAGGTCCTTGCTTCTGGGACTGTATGAATTTGACAT